GTCTCGAGCTCGGCGTAGTACGACTGAATGGCACAAGAGGCAGGAGGAAGAGGGTAACGACGACGAATAACATGGTCGTGCGCAGTCAGGGCGTGATGCGATTATTTCTTGCAGTCTGTGCAATAATCCCCCCCCCCTCCTTCAGATTTCTGAATGACAGTTCCCCTTCCTCTCTGACTCCGCGGCATCATCATCGCTTTTTTCAGTCAGTTATTTTACTTATTCGTTTGTGTGTATGGGCGGGGGTGTGCACGGTTTGATGCTCTCCACTTCTCTCTGTCTCTCCCTCTCCGTTGCTTTAAACCTCTCTCTCCCTCTTTCTCCTTTCTCTCCCATCTCTCTGTATCTCCGTCCCAATCTCTCTGTGCACCACGTAATATATGTATTTGTACACATGTCAGAGTGAGGGGGCCGAACGGTCATTCATTGTCCCTGGGTGCATGGCTGCATAAATAATTCGTGGTGAGAACTCTGCTTGTTGTTGTTGTGACTGTTCTTGTTGTTGTTGGCGAAAGCACTCACTGGTGCCCGGTGGCTGAGCCCTCCCCCCAGCAACACAACAGCACAGCAACACAACAACACAGCAACAGCGCAACAGCGCAACAGAGCCTCCCACCCAGCAACAGAGCAACAGAGCCACAAAGCACCCCCCCAGCAACAGAGCAACAGACGACAGAGGAACGAAGCAACAGGCAGCCGAATTAGAGCCCACCAGCAACAGAGCAACGATTTCGGCGTACCCCTCATATGCTTCGTGGCCCCACAGGGGGCTCTACCGAAGGCTTCGGGCCAATTTCTACAAACCCCGCAGTGGTTTCGTGGCCCCACAAAGGGGGATTCACTTATGTTTTCGGGCCGATTTCGGCGCACCCCTGACACGTTTCTTGGCCCCAGAGTGGTTCCACAGTGGTTTGTTTCTACCCTCATGCGTTTCGCGCCCCGCAAGGAAGGGGTTCCGCCGAGGACCTCGAGCCGATTTCGGCGCACCCCTCATACGTTTCGTGGCCCCAAACGAGGTTTCAGCGAACGCCTCCTGCCATTTGCAGCACAGCGTCACACATTCCGTGGTGCTACAAAAGGGGGCTCCACCGAGGGTTTTTGGCCGATCTCGGCGCCCCCATCACACGTTTCGTGGACCCCCCAAAAGGGTTTCAGCGAACGCCGCAGGCCATTTCCAACACAACATCACACATCCCGTGGTACGACAGAATGGGGCTACACCGAGGGCTTCGGGCCGAGTTCGGCGTACCCCCGACACGTCTCGTGGCCCGACATAGGATGGCTCCGTTCGGTCCATGTCAGCGCACCCCTCGCACGTTTCGTGGCCCCACAGCGTGCTTCAGCGTAGGCCTCACGCCGTTTTCAGTGCAACCTCACCCATTCCGTGGTAGCACAAGGGGCTCCACCGAAGGCATCGGGTTGCTTCCGGCGCACCCAGCACACTTTTCGTGGACCCACGAGGGGGGGTCGCCCGAAGGCCTCCCGCCCATCTATTCACAATCCTCACGCATTCCGTAGCTCGAAGAAGAGGCTCCTCCGAGGGCCTGGGGTGGTCGATTTCGGCACGTCCCACTACACGTTTCGTTGCCCCACGTAAGGGGGTTACCCATCTCCGTCTAGCCATTTTGGCAGGGGGAGGAGGAGGAGGAGGAGGAGGAGGAGGAGATGGAGGAGGAGGAGGAGGAAGAGGAGGGGGAGGAGGAAGTGGAGGGGGAGGGGAAGATGGCGAGGGGGGGGAGGAGGACGGGAAGGAGGAGGAGGAGGAGGAGGAGAGGGAGGAGGAGGAGGAGGAGAAGCCGTTCCACCGAGGGGGGTCTCTGCCGAAGGTTCCGCGGCGCACATTTTCGTGACTTCACAGAGGGGCTCCATCGAGGGCCTCGAGTCGACTTCGGCGAGGCGGCCCTCCTGCCAGGAAGCTGGATTCACGTGGCGTGGGCGGCCTGGGCGAGGGCGGCATGCCGATGTGGCCGCGCGTCGTCTTTCCCCAGCGCTCGCTCGTGCCTGGCCGGACGCGCCAGCCCTCCGCACGTGTGTCGGCTGGCGGGTGACTCTTTTACGTATTCCGCACGGGAGTCCACCCTCGTGTGCGTTCCCAGCTTCCTGGCGTTTGCTCCTCCCCCCCCTCCCCCCTCCGTTCCTCCTCCCGTTGTCTCCTCTCCTTGCCCTTCTGTCCCCTCCCATTTCCCATCCCATCCCCCTCTCCCTCCTCTTGCCCTTCGCTCCTCGTATCCCTTCTGCTCCTGCTATCCACGCTTCGCTCTTCCTATTCAGTGTTCCTCCTTCTTCCCTCATTTTCTAATCCCTCCTTCGCATTCTTTCCCCATAACGCCTCCGATGAATCCCTCATCCTACGAACCCCTCCTCTTATCCATCTCTGCTCCAATCCGCCCCTCCTCCTCCTGTTCATGCCTCTCCTTTCCATCCCTCCTCCTATGCTTTCCTCGGGCCCCCTCCCTTATCCTATCTCTCCCTCCCCCCCCTTCATCCCTCCCTCTTACACCCCCCCCCAGCATTGCCGTCCCTCCTGTCCATCCTTTCCCTCCCTCTCCTTCCCACTCTCCTCCCTCCTCCTCGTCCTCCCCTCCTCCCGTCCCCCCCCCTCCTCCCTCCCTTCAGCCAGCCTCCTGCTCTTCAGAAGATGTTGCGTGAACGCATGGGGCATCTTCTCGTCGCCGCGTCGGGTTCGGTTCTTGCTGCTCCTCTGGCTGGGGCGCTTCTTACGAAAGAGCTGTATGGAGGGGTTGTTAATTAAGAAGGCGCAGTTGTCAACCTTTCCCTGTAATGGAAAGGGAACAGTGAATTATGAATTGCTTGAAGGAATATTCGTTTGGAGGCCGTTGATTTCTAGTAGGCGTCTTAGAAAGGATTCTTGGTAGGATTCCTAGTAGGACTCTTGCTGGGCTCCTAATTAGATTCGTTCTAGAGCTTCGATTGAAGATGGCAACGGCGCGGCGTACATCGAAAACGCTGGCGGCGGACCGACGCCGGCTTTTCATTTTCCCCACATCTGGAGCACGTTTTCGTTGTCACAGAGTACCCTCTCACTATCACCCTCCCCCTTCTTTTATTATTACTACTACCACTACTACTACTACTACTACTACTACTACTACTACTACCACTACTACTACTACAACTACTACGACTACGACCACTACTACTATCACTACTACTACTACTACTACTACTACTACTACTACTACTACGACTACTACTACGATTACTACTACTACTACTACTACTACTACCACTACGACTACTACGACTACTACTACTACGACTACTACGACTACTACGACTACTACTACTACTACTACTACTACTACTACTACTACTAGTACGACTACTACTACGATTACTACTACTACTACTACTACTACTACTGCTGCTACTACTACTACTACTACTACTGCGATTACCTCTACTTCTACTACCACTACTACTACTACTATTACTACTACTACTACTACGACTACTACTACTACTGTTACTACTACTACTAATACTACTACTACTGCTACCACTACGACTACTATTACGACTACTATTATTACTGCTACAACTACTACTAATACTACTGCTTCTACTACTACTACTACTACTACTATTATTACGGCTAGTACTACTACTACTACTACTACCACTGCTACAACTACGACTACTACTAGTATTACTACTACTACTACGACGACGACGACGACTACTACTACTACCACTACTACTACTAGTACTCTTCGTCGTACTACAATTACCACTGCTATCACTACTACCACTACTACTACTACTACTACTACTGCTACTATTACTACTACCACGACTACTACTACTACCACTACTACTACGACTACTACTATTACTTCTGCTGCCCCCCCTTCTTCTACGACTACTACGACTACTACTGCTACTACTACTACTACTACAACTACGACTACTACTACTACTACTTCTACTACTAGTGCTATTGTTACTACTACTAGTACTACTACTACTACGACTACTACTACTACTACTGTTACTACTACGATTACTACTACTACTACTACTAGTACTACTACTGCTACTACTACTGCTACTACTACTACTACTACTACTACTACGGTCACTCCTGCTACTACTACCATTACTGCTACTACTACTACTACTACGACTACTACTACTACTACTACTTCTGCTACTACTACGACTACTACTACTACTACTACTACTACTACTATTACTACTACTGCTGCTACTACGACTACGACTACTACTACTACTACTCCTACTCCTACTACTACTACTACTACTACTACTACTGCTACTACTACTACTATTACTATTGCTTCTACTATTACTACTACTACTACTACTACTACTACTACTACTATTACTGCTAGTACTACTGCTACTACTACTACTACAACTACTACTGCTGTTGCTACTACTACTACTACTACTATCACTGCTATTATTACTACTACGACTACTACTGCTACTACTACTACTGCTGTTGCTGTTGCTACTACTGCGACTACTACGACTACGACTACTACTACTACTACTACTACTACTACTATTACTACTCCTACTCCTAGTGCTACTACTATTGCTACTACTACTACTACTACGGCTACTACTACTACTACTACTACGACTACTGCTGCTACTATTATTACTATTACTAGTACTAGTACTACTACTACTACTACTACTACTACTACTACTACTACTACTACTACTACTTACCACTACTACTACTACTACGACGACGACGACGACGACTACTACTACTACTACCACTACTACTACTACTACTACTATTAGTACTAATCGTAGTACTACTATTACCACTGCTACCGCTACTACAACTACTATTACGACTACTACCACGACTACTACTACTACTACCAGTACTACTACGACTACTACTTTTACTTCTGCTGCTACAAGTACCACTATTATTATTTCTACTACTGCTACTTCCATTAGTTCTGCTACCATCTCTATCACTACTACTAGTA